ATTACCTTGTACTACGGTAGTAGCTCAGTGGCTGAGCCTGAAACTACTGTAGCTGCGCGCCGCAAAACTTCACCGCACTGCACAGAGCGCACAATAATGCTAGCCCTGTGAAATAAAACACATCACGTTGAGCAAACAATCAATGTAAATTAAAGTGTGATCAGCTTCTCTGGTGATCAGCTGCCATAGCCAAATCAATGCTTTCTCCTTACCTGCCAGATGCAGGAGTTTCAACGTTTGAGTCTTTCTTGTGTTGGCAACTCTCTGGCGAGCTATAAACCTTTCCGTAAGATGCCTGCACGTCAAGATTTGCAGTTGAAGAAGCCAAGAGAGAGGCACGTTCCGCTTGATACCTTTGTATAAAACGCCGCGGACCCGAAATTTTTATCGAGGGCAAAAATGGGGGGGTTTGAAGCACGTTTTGACACGTTTTGAAACAGAGGGATTTGCAGGCCAGAACCAGCCTTCATTTCTTCTCTCCCAAGTTCGCACCCTGAAAGCTGCAGAACTAGCAAGGATTTGCCTCTTTTGTTTCATTCCTTTATAGGAAACCGCCTCTACCATCAAGCTGCCTAGAGACAAGAAACTAGAACTGGCTGTGCTAGAACTGACTGCACGCAGCTTGACAGCTGCCAAGCCAGTCATGATCATTGCCTGGTTGTTCTTCACCTGTGGTCCAATGCACTTCCGGAAATCCTGAAAGAGCCCTCCAAAGCTGCAGGAATTGGTCCAAGTAAATCCAGTCTGACAGTCTCACCGTTTGCCTCAAGGAGTAGGCCAGCTGTAAGCTCAAGCAGGAGTCGGTGACCACCTCTGAAAAGCCATCAATCCCAAGTGGGCTAGAGCATTGTGGAGTCGAGCGGTAGAAAGCTGGCAGGCTATGTCCGAGGGTCAACACAGCAGGTAAGCCCTCTTTTGGTATGATCTGCGAGGTGGGAATTATGATATCTGGACTGCATTCAAAGGTCCTCTGTGCACCCGAATGGGTTTATGAGTTTCTGTCAAGGCAATTGCAACAGATTGTGAGGGCATTTTAGGATGATTATTGGATTGGAGGTTTTTGGAAGTAACTGGGCGACAAAAGTTGAAGTCACCTCTTGCTGAGTCGTCCAATATGGCAACCTTTTAAGCATGACCAGCTCAAAGCATAAAGATCTGCAATGGCAAATCGTAATACAGGAGGGCTCTGTTAAACCTTTTGGTCGGTGGTCTTTGTTGACCCTCAACCCTCCAAGCTCAAGCATGTCCATTTGTGTGCATCTGGGCACGTGTGCACCTCAAAGGAGGTTACTTCAAACTTGCTTGTCAATTTGAGCAATTTCAATTGAGCAGAGTAGTAAGTCAATGTCCGTAGAAGTTTTCTGTATAGCAGCAGTCCCCCAGCTGTCTCTGTTGGACGGGGTCTTATGGGCTCCTTTTCTTTCAGTTTCTGCAGAAACTGAGGATAGGCAATGTGTTCCACATTTCACATATTCATGATCCATGAGTGACAAATATCACAAGAGGCAGCATTTCATCTCTTTGTCTTATGCCGCACACCCCTCTTGAGCTTCTCACTCTGACAGAATCTATGCTTGAGAGCCATAGGACCTTGACAGCTGTCACAACTGTATGGTGGCTATTCTGCAGGTCTGACTCGCCTCCCCAATTTCTGCACCTCACTTGAGGAGGATTCCTTGGAGCATGGCGCCCCATAACATGACAGAGGGCGGCAGCGCGCCCCCAATGCGCAAGACCCCCCCTCAGGAACGAGCTGAGATCAATGCCACAAAGGGGGGTTTTCTTGTGGCTCAAGACAACCAATCATCAAGCCCCCCCCAGAACGAAGCAGATCTCCTCAGCCGCCTCCAAGAGATCGTTTGCAGCCACTGTAACAAAGACGAGGCCCCTCCCGACCAGCCTCTCATGGCGATGGGGATTGACTCCCTGGGTATGGCGTCACTTTCGGAGTGTCTGCAGAAGGAACTGGGGGTCAGGGTTCCGGTGACGACACTCTTTGAAGTGCCCACGCTTAGGCTTCTGGCTCGTCACATTGGCCAGCAGCTTTTGGGGGGGTGCACAGTTGGACCCACAATGAAGACTTTCATGAATGCAGAGACTGAGAAAGTGCAAAGCTCAGAAACTGTGGGGGTGCCAGAGCAGAGGGAAAGTGACTATGGGAGTGGGGCGATAGCAGTAGTGGGAATGGCGTGCCGACTGCCGGGAGAAGCAAACACGCCAGAGAAGCTGTGGGAAAACCTCGTTGCTGGCCGCGATTGCATCACTCCTGTGCCGCTTGCCAGGTGAGCCAGCCAGCTCCTGTACAGTCTTATGGTTTCAACCTGTTTCATTACCAGTTCTCAAGTAATTCCTATTATTCAGGTATAAATTCTGTGAGCTCTCTCCCTGGGAATAGAACCAGTTCGTGGACACCCTTTTTCAATCTGGACATTTGGGACACTGTACCTCTATTGTTAAGTTTCTAGCGTCCGGGCAGGGGCCAGCAGCTTAAGTCGTGGATGCATGAGTCATGACGCACTTCGCAATCGAGCCCACCAGCCTAATTACCATGCAAACCCACCCATCTCTGGGGCGTAGCTCATAGGCTTATTCTTTGAGAATTGGTTATATGTATCCTAACCTGGTTGCTCTCCCAAATATAGAACCATCCATATGTTGAACATCAACAAGAGAAGCCGCGCCCATCTTTGCATTTTTGCAAAGCCAGTGTTCAGGCAGTAGCAAAAACCTTTCGCTTTATATCATCATACAAAGGCTTCTCTTCCTGCAGGTGGGACGTAGACGCAGTCGACCGCAGCGGCCTCAAGCCCCCACTGGAGCCTTGCCTCGACAAGGGCGGCTTTCTGACAGACGCTGAGCTTCTGGACGCGTCTTTTTACGGAATCACTCCTTCCGAAGTGATTCCACATGGACCCGCAGCACCGGTTGGTCCTGGACGTCTCAACCGAGGCCCTTCTCGAGGTATGGCCCGTCTCGTCATCGACTCGGTCGTTCTCCGTTCTTCTTCATGCATCTTTGCGAGACTCGCTTCGCTCCTCTTTCTCTGGAGACGAACAACCGTATGTGGATTCTTAAGCACGGGAATTTCTTCCGCTTGGTCGCAGATGCAATTGCAGAGGAGGATGAGTCAGCACAGAGCACAATTGCAACATCTTCGAAACAGAGAGGCCGCCCCTGCATCGTGCCTTGTTTGACGTGTCCCGGTGCATGTTTCTGCTTCTGCAAACCGTAGGCTTTAACTCAAGACGGTTCTTAATTCGAGGTTCCCAATCCGTAACTGTCTTCCCAAGCCCTTCAATTCAGTCCAAATAAGGTTCTCAATCTCGTGCAGATCGCTAATATGCGGCATTCTTAAATCCAGGTAGTAGATTTGCAGCCGAAAGATGAAGAGTAACGTTCAGTCCAGATGAGAATCATGGAAAATATCCTTGTTTTGGTCTTCCGATTCATTTGCGCTATCTTACCACACACAGACTCCAGGTTTCCTCATTCGTTCCAGGCGGGTTTTACCAAGGCAACCCTGGCTGGGAGCAAGACCGGCGTCTTTGTGGGCATCTCTAAAATGGAGTGGGGGGCGTTTCCCGTGCACGCCAAAGAGCCGTCCGCGTACTCCCTCCCGGGAACAGTGCTCTCTATGGCGTCCGGCCGCGTCTCGCGCCTCTTTGACCTTCACGTAAGCCCTCCAAGCTTGAGGGCTTCGCTTGTGTGTGTGTGTGTCTTTGTCCGCCTATGAGACGACGGTGATAACCTGATCCTCAAATGGTTGATACCACCAAAGCTTTGCATTCGTGCGAAGACGTGCCTTGCTGCGATGTAAGTCTTTGCATCCACATATACACACAAAATTCTACAAGATACCCTTCAAGACAGGGGTACACCTGCGACAGAACACCAGGCCAAAATTGTCACAGGTTACTGGACACCTCGCCGAGCTCGTTGAGAGCCGATTCTTCTGTTACAGCCTTCTCATATCACTGACCTCAATCTCTTTCAACACAAGTAAGCGCCTTCAAGCTACCGAAAGTTGTCACTTCTATTGTGTGCTGGTGACTTTCCCCCGGTTCCCCAGGTCCCCTTTCAAGCAGCCCACGGTTGCTTGCTTTCTCTGAAAATCAAGAAATGACGCCCTCAACATACTCATACGAACGCTGCTGAATTGCAGGTATGCTTGGGACTATTTCCCGGTTTCTCTTCAAGCCAACCAAGGGGGCTTAGTCTTTCGATCAATCAGAAAGTGAGGCCCTCGACTTACTCATACGAACGCTGCTGGATTGCAGGTGTGCTCGGAGATATCCACCGGTCGCTCTCCGAGCCGACCAAGGTTGTTTTTTTGTTCCCGGGGCAAGGCTCCCAGTACGTCAACATGGGCCGCGAGCTGTATGAGTCGGACCCAGTGTTCCGCTCCGCCATCCAGCGGTGCGACGGTATCCTCGCGCCGCTTCTGCCGGAACGTCTATTACGAGTGCTGTACCCCACCGAGGTAAGTTTTCTGTATCCCCTAGTTAGAGGTTTGGATAAGTGAAGACCCTAAAAACCGGCAATGACAATCAGCGATCCTGTAAGACTCCTCTTGCGGGGGCTGTAGCCCACGTTAGCATCGCGGGCGCTTCTTGACTCGATCGTTTTAAAAGAGGTTTCTGCAACGAAAGATGTGCTTACTTCCTAAGCGTCCCACTGGTATGGTAACCGGAGCGTTTATATTACAATGATCCGGCAATCGATGGGCCCATCGCTTACTTCGTTGTTCTGGTGCCCAATTGAGTTCCTCAAACACAGACTCAGTACGCACAGCCCGCATTCTAACCACCGCCGGTAACAATCCCAAACCTGTCTTCTTAACCCACATCCGCAGGACTTTGCCCCGACGGCAGAACGTTTGATTCACCAGACCCAGCGCAACCCGCGATCTTCGCCGTCGAATACGCCCTCGCCCAACTGTGCCTTTCCAAGGGACTGCTTCCGTCAGCCGTTCTGGGCCACAGCGTCGGCGAGCACGCGGCCGCGTGCGTGGCTGACGTCATGTCGCTCGAGGATGGGCTGCGGATCATGGCGGCCCGGGGGGCGCTCCTGCAGGTACGAAACCCGAAAATAATTAGTAAATAACCTAAGATAATGACCAGCGTCAACCCTATAAGTGACGCACTCGGCTCCCTTACCGACTGTGATTAGTAAGTAACCCGTCTCAGTGCGACTACGTTATCGTTATTTCAGCTTATTGTTATCTTTCTTGGATTTGATCCTGCAGGCGCTGCCGGCCGGAGGGTGCATGGCGGCTGTGCGCGCGAGCAAGGAGGACGTGGCGCGCGCGCTGGAGGCGGTCGGCTGCGAGGTGAGGGCTTCGATGTACGGGTATCCGAGCGTTCAAGCCGCTCATATAACTACGGACGGATACTCCTCGAGACATTATCTGGAATGGGTTTCGAGAAGGACCCGAGCTTACCGTTTGGTCGATGAAGGGATTGACATTCTCACCGCGGATTGGGGCATCATGCAGCCAAACATCTTCGAAGCAGGCCCTTAAACAGGTTGGAAAACAGGTTGGAAGCACTTGTAACGGATGACAGAGCGCCGTTTCTTGCCCTCAAGAACGGGCCCGCCGTACGGATCCGTTTGTTCAAGCCAAACCATTCTCGAATGAAACCGACCACATAGCGGTCGTCTCAGGTACGCACTAGAAGCTGTAAAAACGAAAAGGGAACGTATCGAAATGGACGACTTTTCGCGGGGCAGCTTGTAATGGCTGTAATCAGACCAGGGGGTACAATTTCAAGGGCAATCGAGGCCCGAGAGGAAAACGCTTTTCCGAGCGACCTACTCGCAAATGGGGCGCGAATTGCTTTCAATTCGCCGTTCGTTACGCCGGTAGCTCTCACCAAGACTAACATTGCACCTGCTCCTTTCAGGACGTTTCCATTGCTGCCGTGAATGGTCCCCGCAGCGTCTTGGTTTCCGGTTCCGTTCCGGCCGTGGAGCGGGTCCTGCAGGCCCTGGACGGATCTAGCAAGCGGCTGAACGTCTCCCACGCCTTCCACTCGCCTCTCGTGACGCCCATGCTGGAGAAGTTTGCAGAAGTGCTCCGGACGGTACGCGTCTTCAATATGTCCAACTTTTGCCGTTTGGTGTGTGCTTGTTTCCCTCTTAGTGCAGATTTGGACTTCGTTATTCTACCCCAAACCCGCTTACTCAAAGCGGGGTGCGTCGGAAGAGCAGATGACTTGTTATTTGCAGTATCTGCATGTAAACCAGCACAGCAAACAGGAGAACAGAGTCGCTGCGCCGTTTGCGGGCTCGAAACAAGTGTCTGAAGTGTCTGCAAAAGCAGGCCGCCGATCTTTTCGTCTCAGGCTGGCGAGCTTGTTTTCCTTTACGCTTGCCTTTCCTAATTTGAGGTCTCGTTCCCTCAGGTGACCTTTCGACCGCCGTCCCTTCCGCTCGTTGGCCTCGTAACCGGGGACCTTGTCGGCCCGGAGATCGCGTCCCCCGATTACTGGTTGCGCCACACGCGCGCGCCCGTCCGCTTCCTCGCGGGCGCACGCGCGCTACGCGCCTCCGGCTGCCACGTGTTCCTCGAACTTGGGCCCCAAGCTGTGCTCTCGCGCCTTGCCCCGGGGTGCGAGCCACCGGAATCCGCCCCTCCAGTCCCCACGTACGCCTGCATGATCGAGCGGAACGGGAGCGGCGCCGCGGCCGCGGCCGACGCGATCGCTTTCAGTCGAAATGCGGCGGATCGCCTCCGGAGCAACGGGGCAGCGGAACAGCGGAGTGACAGCGGAGTGGGAAAGTCACGCGGGGCGAACGCACGCGCATTTCCTTGGTGGACCGTTCCGCACAAGCTTTTGCAAAGCCGTACGATGGATTATGATGGAGCGACCGTATTTCGGACCATTCTTCGGGGGCGGCTCAGGGAAATGTGCGCTGCATCCATGACTGTGCACGGGGCGTCTCTACTGGGCGCTTTTTCCTGCCTGGAGATAGCTCTCGCAGCGACGGGGGACTCACAACCGGGCGGAACCGAGTCGCCTTTGCTGCTCAGCGGCGTAACTTTCCCCTCTCCGTTTCTTCTTCTCAAGAAAGACAGCCCAACGATTTTCGCGGTCGTTTCGGAGGGCGGCCGCGGCGTGCAAGTGACGAGCGGCTCTGGACCGTCCAAGAGAGTCCACGTGGCAGCCTTAGTCAAACCGACCGGTAGGAAGCACCGGGGCTGGTGGAACGTCCCGGTTTGCTCCCCCGACCCAATCGCTCTGGGCTACAAGAAAATCGCCCCGGAACAGCTCGTCTCCGATCTACAAACTCTGGGCGCAGTGTCTTTCCTCGAAAGCGCGCGCGCGGTTGTTGAGGTTTCCATCGGTGACTCTGGGGCGTTGGCGAAGCTCGCTCTTCCTAGTTCCTCCGAAGGTTTTGGTATCCACCCAACGCTCCTAGAGGCCTCGGTTGTTGTGGTCGGGGGACTTCTCGCCCGGTCGGGGGAACTTGCTCCGGGGCCCGCTCTCCTGATGACCGGAATCGCCGAAGTGGCGTCGCTCGGGGCGCACGCGCTTGGCGCGCGCGCGCGCGCCCGCCGAGCCTCGTTGCTGATGCACGCGAGCGGCTTGGAGACAATGGGACCGGGGAGCTTCTCCGCGAACATCGACTTTTTCGACGCGGAAGGGAAGTGGGTGCTCGGTGCACGGCGGGTGATTTTTTGAAGCCGCCGACGCGGCCGCGTTCCGCGCGCGCGCGGAGCGCGCGCCTTCCGCTCCGCTCGCCGCTCCGCTCGCCGCTCCGCTCGCCGCTCCGCTCGCCGGACCGGACGCACCGGAAGAAGAGCCGGAGGGTGAGAGCGCTCCCGAAGACGACCTCCGGGCGTTGCCAGTCAGCGAACAAAAGCCACGCGCCGAGGCGGTGATTCTTTCCGCGGCGCGAGAAGTTTTGGGCCACCCGGGGCTGGGGCTCTCCGACAGCCTCAAGGACTGGGGGATGGACTCGCTGGTCGCCAGTGAGCTGTGCAACCGCCTGCCACGTGGCGCCACGTGGACGCCCGCGGTCGTCCTGCGGGAGAACTCCGCGCGAGCGCTCGCGGCGGTCTGGCTCGGCGCTCGTGCAGGCACTGACGTCAGCGACGACGGAGACGACGCCAGCCGCGGGGGGAGCGCCTGCACCGATGACGTTAGCGCGGGCGTCAGCCCGGGGCCCGCTGACGTCAGCGGAGCGGCTCGCGGCCCCGTGGCGTTCTTGTTTGCGGGCCAAGGGTCGCAGGCCCCGGGCATGGCCCGGGGATTGCTGGCGACCGATCCGGTGTTCCGGGCTGCAGTGGAGGAGTGCGACCGGATTCTGAGGCCGCACTTGGGGCAGTCTATTATAGACATCATGGCGGTCGAAGTGAGTGTCCTCATTCGCGTTGACCCTTCTGGGACTCCCCAGTGAATTCTGCAGAATTTCTGCCAAAACAACCAGCCGTGTTGGGGCGGATACGAGTTGGAAGGACGTACAGAAATAGACTCACCGGCAACAAAATGCTTCTTCAGGCAGTTTTATATCGCCTGTGATTGACAGCTGTGGTCCTTTGCAAATCTTCGTCTGCGTTTTATGCTTTTGATGCATTTTCCACAATGATCAGTGCAGTAGCTCAATGGCAAGCTGAACCAGTCTACAAATGTCATCTAACCAATTTGGATGCGATAACGACCATAGTATGTCCCGTATCTAATCATGGCAATCTCGACTTCTTCCAGGACTCTCCAACTACCCCCAGCCCCGTCCACGAAAATCGCTACGCGCAACCCTGCCTCTTCGCCGTGCAATGGGGCCTCGCGCGCGTGCTCGGCGCCCGGGGCGTCCAACCGGGCGCCGTGATAGGTCACGGCTGCGGGGAATACTTCGCCGCGTGCCTGGCTGGGGTGTTCTCACTGGAAGACGCTCTCTTTCTCATCGCAACCCGATCGCGTTTGCTGAACGAGTTACCGTTAACCGGGGGCATGGCGGCCGTGAAAGCGAGCCAGGATCAAGTGGAGGCGGCGCTTAGAAAAACGGAGGGAGAGAAGGTGAGGGGCACACACGCTCCTATTTCTGCGCCGGCAATTCAGCAACATATGCACCGCATAGGCTTGGAGATCAGCAGCTATAACGATACGAACGATTCGCACGCGTATGTTTCCCGCGCTTTCATCCTGAAGCTGAAACGGACGACAGCGGGCTGCTCCATTTTAGTGCCCACATGCTTTCTATCACACGAGAGCGCTGTCGGTTAAGTTCTCTGTGGCAGGTCAATTACTTTCAAACGGATTCGTTGTGGGGCCATAGCAGACAGCGCTTTGTGCCGTTGCCTCTGCAGTCAGTGCCTATGGTTGCGTGCCCCTTATGAGCAGTACTGTTGTCGTGTTGCTGAAGTGGAAGTGCATCCCTGCTACTGATTTGCAGCGACTGTTGGGACTGGAGCTCTGCTCTTGTAATGGTGCCACGACAAATCTCTTGAATCTGCGGCGCAACCGCTCCACCTTACTAGGATGTCCCTTATCTTTAGATCCACAAACAGGGCCACATCTGGAAGAGGCGAAGCGTGCTGGCAGGAATTATTCATTTTGCGTTCTACAAAGCCTGCATGATACTTGGTGTTTAAACGCTGATCAAGCAACTTCCCGGGTTCCTATTTCCAGGTCTACATCGCCGCCGTCAACGGGCCGTCAAACGTGGTCCTGGCCGGAGAGGCAACGGACTTGGACCGGGTGCTCGCCCGGATGAAAGCACCGGCCAGTCGCCTGAATGTCCGCCAGGCCTTCCACTGCCCTCTCGTGGCGCCCGCCGTGCCAGAGTTTGCTGCAGCGCTTCAAAAGGTGGGCCCGGTAGACCCTGAAATTCTACATTCGAGATTCGTTTTCATATTGGAGTACTCGCCGGTTGAAAGCACCGTCTACTCGCCGAATCGCCCGTCAGGCCTTCCACTGCCCCCTCGTGGCTCCTGGCGTTCCAGAGTTTGCCGCGGCGCTTCATAAGGTGGGCGCCCAGTGGACCCTAAATCCTACACCCAAGTTTCTAGTCAGATCGGAGTGCTCGCCCGGTTGAAAGCACCGGCCACTCGTCCGCCAGGCCTTCCATTGCCCTCTAGTGTGTTAAGTGGCGCGCGCCGTGTCAGAGTTCGCTGCGGCGCTTCGAAAGGTGGATTCGTAGACCGCCCCGCTTAGTCAATTGCAGCATGTACGCACAGAGGGGAAGCTAGTCGCAGCTAGTACTTTAGACCGACGCAGATTCTGACGGGATCTGCCATAGCTCAGAAACTGCCAATTTCGTAGGACGTACTTCCGTTTTCTGTTCACAATCTTTTGTAGCATACAGGAGGCGTTCAAACTGCCACCGATTACAAACAAACATAATCTGGCCAGGATTTTTGAGTTCCGTTTTTCATTTCCGGTTTCAGGTCACTTTCCACCCGCCCACCCTTCCCCTCGCCGACAACGTCTCGGGGGGGGTGGATTCGGCGGCCCTGGCGACCCCCGACTACTGGGTCCGGCAGATGGAGGGCGCCGTTCGCTTTGAGCGCGGGGTGCGCGCGCTCGCGGGCGCGGGCGCGTGTCGCACGTTCCTCGAAGTGGGCCCGCAGGCGAAGCTCATCGGGATGGCCAACCAGTGCCTCCGGGCGGAACGGCTCGAGACCGGAAATGGAAACGAGTTTGCATTCCTGACGACGTGCGATCGGACCGGGGAGGCGACCGCGGGCGCCCTAGACGCAGCCGCGGCCGCGTTCGCGCATTCATAAGCCGCGGCCGCTCTTTCCGCTGGATTGAGGTTCAGCAGCTTTGGCGATCTCAGGAGAAGGCGGCCAAAAGTGTTCTTGGAGTACAACTTCTTGTACATAGGGACTATTTTGGAGCGAGATACAGTCGGGTGTTCCGTCTCTCTGGTGGTCTCTTGCGCGGCTTGGCACTTGAAACATGATAACGTCTTAGTGGGTGTGATATTTATGGATTACGGGATCCGGTTTCGGGGAAATCAACGAATGAAACGGTTAAGTTGGAGAATGAGGTAGTCCGATGCTTAGGCTATTAAGCCTCGGGTTTAGGAAGTCGGATTGTAGGCAACTTTGCAGAAAGAAAGAAACGTCAAATTTGCAGATGGCTTGAAATAGGCTTGATGCCTCCAGGACATACTAACAGGCATTTGGAAGTATCGACTTCTCGCTTGGCATTAAGACCTCCGTATATAAGCAGATTAGTTCTGGTCGACGGTGGCAGGGGATTCGAAACCGGGTATCGAGTCGCGTTACTAATGACTCTCGACTTGTGGTGGTATCGTCTTTACGTCCTCAGGAGGCCCAGGTTCTCCACAAAGTACTTTAGATGGTTCAAATGATATGTAATTGTCTGAAACCATCCGAATCATTTCAGACGTTTGACTGGAGCGCACCGAGTCCGATGCCGTCAGCGTTTGGAGATTTCACCAGCGGAAATCAATCACTCCGGCACGCGTCTACAAATGAATTGACATGACCAGAAAATTTGAGCAGATAGATTCTTATCTGCTGAAACTTCCGTACGTCGAAGTTTACACCATCACTAAGATGTGGCCGCCGAGCGGCTAGCCTTCGCAGTGGAATCCCGTCCAAACTGATTGTAGTCAAGTCCACTTGAAACAACGATTGCTGCAGACATTGGCCGACCGTCGATCCATGCAACGTGATTTTTAACTACTGCATGAGCCCTGATGGCAGCTCCGTCCGGAAAACCTCATCTGCATCACATAACTGCACGCGCGGCAGGACCGTATCGATCAGTGGCATTCAAAATGATTCCTAGACAAGAGCACTACTGGCAATATGTTAAACGTAATCGAACACCACAGCCGCCGAGTGTGAATGATTGTCAAGTGATCAATCGTGCAAACGCTCTGAAGGAAAGTTGGACCGCAAGACACCTAGAGTTTAAGCGCCGATCGACCCCTGTTTGTGTGAATCCGAAAATAGCTAAAGCTGTCAAACCCGGGCTCAGCCAAAGACAATTGACTTATACACAGACGTGATGATGTCGAGAGAGGTGCCCACGACGGCGAGGCTGCCCGCCAGCCCGGTCCTCCCAATCGGGACAACGCAGCGCTAATGACAGAAGATTTTGGCTGATTACCAGACTGAGTCCGACCAGCTCGGGTTATGAAGAAATAACTGGGCTTTAACCTTGTTCCAAGCCGGCTGGTTTCCGGCCCAAATCTGGCTATTGAACACTCAACCGGCAGTTTTGAAGCAGCCGACAGCCAGCCCATAAGCATCCATGATTAAGCGCCAAAACTACCTGTGAGTCGGGCCGCTAGTTACAATGGCGCTGAAAGGGGGCCGTTCGAACGTCTTTCCGTGCAGATTGAATATGCTCGTACTCGTCAAAAGGCCGGGCGCAGCTGCCGTGTAGGAATTTAAACATGCACGTACTGGCTGGAGTTGTCGTCAAAAGTGGGCCTTGCAGGCGTACGGCAGAACTTCGCAATGGTCGAAATCGCAGCGCTACCGTCCAATTCAAACGTAAGGACTCCTTTCTACAAAGTTTAGCCAGGGGTTACAGCTTCTTTGGCAGGACCGGTTCCAATACTGGGGTTCCGGCAGACCGTGCCTAACCGTAAATGCAAACAGAAGATCTCGAGCCCATCTCGAGCGTCCATCTTTTACAACGTCACAATCGGAACGGCAGCGCTGCGATACCAATATTGGTCATCCCCCAGCCATTACGGGGTTTTGCGGTCCGTCTGCTTGGAAGGGGACGCTGAAGACAATCTTCGCGAACGTGCCAGTACGTGTGGTAGACGTCATGATGCTCAGACGGCCCGTGCATCGGCCGTGGAGTTGCCGCCGGCTCGGATCGCAATTAATTCTCGCGTGGAAACAGAATGGTTGAGGTGCAACAAAGCACTGTACCCAATTGATCAGTGGCGCCAAAACTAGACGCAATCACCTGGGGGTGCCAGAAGCATGGGCCGGAGATGGATAGAGCTGTCGAGAAACTTGAAGCGATTATCTGCGGTTTTCGCGGATTTACGAGATGATTGACGACGTGCTCTCGATGACTCGGAGCCTACACCAGCGCTGGCCGAATCTTGGAATTATAGAGATCACCCGATTTCGGAGAAAAGCAGAGATGATCTTCGATGCGTGAAGAACGCTACTAATTAAGTCGCATTGGCTGAGACCCGGCTGAGATTCTCCTCGAGGCGCCCCCGAGCTGGCGCAGTTTGGACTATTTGAGGAGGGACTCTTAGAAACATGGTGCCATGCATGAGGAGGCCTCGGTTGAAGGTCTGTCGATATTTGAAGGGCGGGAATGTCTCTATGTTTACCCGGCGCAATGCCTTGATTACAAGTGTCCAAAAGACTTTGGGCCAGGCTTGTTCTAGACCCGGCGGTCTACGTCGCGAATGGATGTCGAGTTGGCCTTTTATGCGTAGGTAATATTTTCCTGTTTTATTGTACAGGCTTGTGCATTACTTGTAAACGAGCTGAACATCGAGCCTAGGCGCGCGCACAAATTTTCTACATTCCGATCCGTTGTCGTTTCGCTTCGCAGCGGACTGCGGGACTTCAACCGGAAGGCCGGCAAATACGCCGACAGAGGCGCTAAAATCGTGAATGCATGTTTTAATTGCCCGTTGCAGATGTCCCGTGCACCTCAACTAAAACTGTAACCCAGAATATCACCGGTTTCGTGCCCGCACCCGTCGTTAACCTACCACTAACCCCACCCATCTCCCGGGTGCAATTAATTACCCTATCAGGCACTCAGGCTCCAGGTCAGCTTACCTATTAATTAATGCGCACACGCACTCGTGACTGCAGCAAAGCTGAGGAGGAGGAGAGGAGAACTCGGAACTTGGAATTAGGAACTTGCAGAAGTTGAAGTTTGAACATGGTGGCGCGTCGCAATAATATTGATTGTACTCCAGCAGAAGCATCTTCAAACAGCAGAAGCAAGTTCAGAGTTCAGAAGTGGCGTGCAAGGACCTGTAGGCTCTAGCTCTTTGAAGGCCGGCTGCGCTTGCACTTCAGCCGGATGGTTTGTCTGCATTGTCAGGAGTGATGGACGCCCAACGGTCACCGGGCGCTGGGGAGGGGCGGCAACCAGACAATGCAAAGTCACCGTCTCTCAGATCTCGGCTTTTTGCTCCAACTGCAGCATCTAAGGCCAGGCGGGGAAGTACCCCAGAGCCAGGAGGTTTTGTGGATCTGTCTAAGAGCAGCGCAGAGTTAGCAGGACCACCTTTGTTTGAAGCCAAGGCGGCGAAGCCGAGCCCTACTGTTAGAAAACCTAGCAAAGCAGCCACAACGGGGACTGATGACCAGTTGGCGTCTCCCGTGGGTTCTCATAAGAACAATGCCACAGAGGAAAGTGGGGCGTCAACTGACAAGGTGAATGGTGGCAAGCACATGCAAGCAAATGGCAGTGCAAACGGGCATGTGAATGGTACGAAAGTGGACAGATCTGAAAAGGAGGCGGCGGGAAATGGTGTAAATGGTGTAAAAGGGACATTTGGCACAAATGGCAACGGGGAGCTGGGCATGTCCACAGGGAAGCCTGCCGAGCGTGATCTGGAGAGTCCGAAGAAGGGCGCTCAGCCCGTACACAACGCTAGCAACGCCGTGCCTGACGCTAATGCAAACAAGACCAAGAAGGTCACAGGTGCCAGTCCTACAGGGCCTAAGAGCGCCGCTGCCACGCGGGGCGCTTCTCCCGCTCGCAAAGTGAGGGCGCCGTCGCCTGCCAGAAACGCAGGTGCCCCGCAAAATGCTCTGGCGCGCACGAGGTCGCTTGACGCGGCTCCTCCAGAGCGCGCTCGGGGCCGCTCACCTGCACGCCCAAATTCTGACCGGGGGAGCCGGGGATCTTCCCCTAGTCCCAGCAGCGGCCCCCGGAGAGCCTCTCCCAGTCCCAGCCGGAGGCCAGCATCGCCAGCGAGGGGCAATCTCCACTCCCTAAGTTCTCCCACGCTCTCCTCGCTCGCACGGAGGAACTCAGGCGAGTTCGCTAGGGCGAGTCCTCGCTCTGTCCTGCAGTCTGCGGCGCCGAGCCCGCGGCTCTCCTGGGGCATGCCCAGTGCGAAGTCCCAGGGGATGGCCTCGACGAGGAAGGCCCTCGGAGTGGACAGCGAGAGCTCGAGCAGCAGCGAGAACGGCAATGCTGCGAACAGGCGATGGTCTACTGGACGGGCGAGCGTCCCTGGGTTAACGAGGCCGGCAGGGTCTGGGGCAGGGACGGGCTTGCTGCGAGGGAACAGTTCGTTTGCGGGGCCGGAGGATCTGCATATCAGTCCGGATCTGGTGAGTGGACCAGGCTGTCTGTGTATCCTTTGCTTGTTTGTAAGCAGAGGGTCTGTTGGAGTGTGCGGTGTATTTTACGAGCCCAACAGCTGGCATTCTTGTTGAACCATTCTGAAATCTCATGATTCATCAGCAGCGTGACCAAAGTTTGTCGCTGGTGCAAACTTTGCTGCAATAGCAGTTGAGGGAGCTGCGGGGCAATCTAGTATGCGAGAATGCAACCTTGGATACCAAAGCACGGTGGCATGTGCTAGCGTGCAAACACGAGGCAAGCGAGTTATTTCATGCATTTAGTTGCCTGGTGTTTACACCATAAGACCACTTCTGAGGAGTTAGTCCGATGACAGGTGGCATGCGCAGTGCCACCTTTTCTACAATGCAGAGTAACAAGGACATGCTTTCGAGCAGGAAAATTGCTCATCACTTTTGTGCTTCGCTGGACTAACAGTTGTCGTACAAAGTCCACGTCATGCCAGACCAACTGACAAAAAAACGTCTGGATCTTTTCTAAACGTCCCTTTTTGCCCTTGAGAGAAATGCACACGAGTCTCCAACTTTTATCGTGCAACATTGAAGCTTGTTTGCATTTACATTGATGGTCAAGTATGCCTTGCACCTTTTGTGTTCAAGGTTGCGCCTTTTGAGAATGCTTAACATACAGGAGGACAGGTGTCGTGGCTCCTTCACCTCTTTCCACCAAAGTTCCAGCCTTTCTAAAAATGTTGCACGAATGCATTATCTAGGGGTCAGACGTTGTGGGCAGGAGTGAAGTCCGAGGAACAACTTGAAAGCGAGACTTTGATAGCGTGATTCATATGTTGGTGGTGCAACTCCTGGAGATTGACTTAAAGCCATCAGCCAAATCCTGCAAAATCAGGAATCCTGCATGAGGTGGCCAGGCAATCGTGGCAAAGAACCCTTCAGTCAATCTCGTTTGGTTACACCTGTGGGGGGCACCCAAGGTGAAGGCTTTGATTTCTGGCTTTTCAGTACAAATGTCAAAGCCTGGGGCAACCTAATGGAGGACCAATACTGTCTGCACCAGTCCACTCAGGCTTGCGTGACTGCATTGTGCCTTTCTCCACGTTGACTTGTGCACGAGCTGTGATGCTGGCATCTGGAAATAGCACAGAGCCTTGAAGTCTGACCTTTTCCCCGGAGTTGACTCGTGCACGAGCTTTGACAGCTGGCATTGGAAGTAGCACAGAGCTTTAAAGTCTGACCTTTTCACCGGAGCACGGAAGGCTCCGTGCCTGACAAAACTCCATACCACAGAGTGTGTCCAGCCAATCATCTCTGGAGAGTTCCGTTTCTCTCGCAACGGTGGAGCTGCCTCGCATGCGTTGTCCTTCCCCCATTCTCCCCTAGTCCGCCACCAATGGCTGCACACTTAGGTTCATCTCTTGCGTACAGCAGTACCCGCGTAATCACAGGCTTTCCTTCACAAGGCAGTGCAAGTCTTGGGGCAAAACTTATGTCAATGCACCCGTGATTGTGCGCACTGCATTCGTGACTGCCTGAGCCTGTGGGCCCATCCAGAAAAGAGTGGCAGACAGTACCAATTCGCCAATCGTAATCCAACGTCCTCACAGGTGTCGCACACCCAGTTGTGTCTCCCGCGCAGCTTGGACTGCATTACACTGATTGGCGGATAGAAGTCAGACCAGATTATTCCGTTACAGTCCTTTGCCTCCACATTCACCACGACAGTTCAGATGTATTGAGCCACTCAGCACGCTGTTTTTGCAGAAGCTGGACCTCAAGGGGAAGAGGATCCGGAAGCTTAGCTCGTCAGCACTCAGCCCAAAGCTTGAGGTAAGGTCACCCAAATATGAAGTGGTTGTGTGAAGTGTTTGGTTCTCACTGATGTGCAATCTGCCCCAGGGTAAGGAGACTCTGCCATGCAAGCTTCTCTAGGAGTACTCCTTTCACTCAACAGTGGCATGTGCCCAGGCGAACGCACTTCCCCTGAGGATTGCTTCGGTGTACTTTGTGTGGGGGGCATATCGCTGAAACACTTCTGTGGCTAGATTGTGCAGAGCTTCTCATTGTGAGCCGGTCTCATGCATTCTCCACAAAAAGTGCCGCCTTTCTTCTGGTTGCAGTGGGTGAACCTCCGTGAGAACAAGTTGCAGTCTTTGGAGGGGATTGACATCTTGAAGAGGCTTAAGGTATGTGCGCTTTGCAACGCAGTTTGAACCACCAACTTGACTTAATGGTTTACTGTGCAATGAGGTTGAGGTGCGGTTGCTGGGATCTGTTGTTGGCAGTCACCAACTTACAAGGAATGCACACAACTTGGGGGATATCATTCAAGTGATGCGCAGGCAATGAGCCTTACCAGCATTTTGATACAACACATACGGCGGCAATACCTATTGGACACGACGGTGCTGCATATGTTTTCTGGAGTTTACTTTGAGAGTCTACTTTCCAGACTTCAAAACAAAACATCGAAGGCTGATTGTGTGGGCCATCTTGGCTGCCTGTTAAACTTTGCCGAATTGATTGCTTTGGAGGCCAACTCAAGGTCATCTTAGTATGCTTCGCCCCTTCAGGTCGGTAATTGTAATACTATGCACACCAAATGTGTGGGAGCCCCGCCCCAGAGAACTTGGTTTGGGTCAGTCTTGAAGTCCCCTTCCTTTCCTTCTGGTCAAGTTGAAGTCCCTTCCTGTCTCTCAGGTACTGCACCTCTCTACGAACGAGCTCAAGAGCAAGGCCCTGGCGGCCCTGGCGCCCCTCCAAAGTCTGCAGCAGTTGTTCCTGTCTAGCAACCGCCTCACGACTCTGGCCCCCCTGCCCAAACTCCAAGCGCTGACGGTGAGGCGTCAGACGCTGACGTCATCACTGGCCCCCGCTGACAGCATTAGCGACCTCAGTGACTTCTCAATCTCAATGAAGCTAGTTACAAGATGCTTGTGCGCTGAACGAAAGCTTCCGATAGCAGGGCCCCCTGACTGGGAGTCACTTAGTCATTAGAGTGTCTTTGCCTTCAGAAAATACTATTGTATTGTAAGATCCCTCTCGCTAAGACAGGAAAACAAAAGCCGCTTCTTTCCTACCCTGCAACGCACCTGCACCAAGGTCAACTTCACGCTGCGAGTCTGAACATTGGAATCTCATCCCTCTTCTCCTTTATGCAGTTCCTGTCCGTCACGCAAAACGAGATTACGACCCTCGAAATGGCGTCCTTCCCGCGCCTTCACACCCTCATCGCCAGCAAGAACTACATCACCTCGCTCGCTGACCTGCCCCACCTGCCGGCACTCACAGTAAGTAGTGTACTCTTCTTTTCTCTCTCTTGATTCGTGACTCATTTGTCGAAGAGTGGTGACCTTGGCCTCTCTCTTGATTCGTTGATTCGATTGTGAAGAGTCGTGACCTTGGTTAAAGCTGCTTAAACCTAGTTATGTGGCTTAGCCTCGCACCCTGCAGGCCTTCTGAAAATCGTATGAGTCGTTCTTCAGAGAGGCGGTAGAGCATGCTTTGAGTAAAAAACTTGCAAGAGCGCAGCAGTGTGCGTATTCACCTCCTGGGGTCTTTTGTTCATCACATCAGAACGCAGGCAACTTCAGCAAGCTGCTCCCGTCTTTCACATGCTCATCATCTTCCAATGGGCTCCAGGACGGGCTCCAGAATCCTGGACTCCCCCAATGCGGGCTGGTTTCAAAGCTAGGCAACGAAATGGCCCGTGATGATTTTACATTTGTAATCAAGGGCCGCAAATGAAACCCCCAATATCGCTCTTTCCCCCAGATTCTAAAGGTAGACGACAACCCAGTTTCAGAAGACCCCCTAGCCCGTACGGTGGCGATGCTGCTGGTGGGGAAAACGCTGAAGCGGTTCAACGAGCAGGAAGTGGAGCCGGCGGACCACTTCGAGGCGCTTTCTTACCCCCCCCACATGGCGGCGTGCATTCGGAGCGGGTTCGCACTAACCCCTGAGAACAACACTCCAGGTAGGGCTTCATGGTCAGGGTTTTTGGGTTTTTCGGGTTAAGGGTTTGTGGTTATCCCTGCTCTACCCCCCCAAAACTTGGCCACGGGCATCTGAAGTGGCTTTGTGCTGACCCCTGAGAACCTCACTCCAGGTAGGGCTTTGTGGTCAGGGTTTCGCGCTTTTTGGGTTAAGGGTTTGTCCCTACCCCTGCTTTACCCGGCAGCGTACATTTGGAGCAACTTTGTGCTGACCCCTGAGAATAACCCTCCAGGTAGAGCTCAATGGTCAGGGGTTTCGGGGGGGTTTGGGTGAAGGCAGCTCTTATCTTTTGTACAAACAAGACCCGACAGCTGGTGGCTAGGTGAAGCGTGGGATGCATGTAACTTTGCATTTGCAGTGTTTGCTTGACCTTCACTGACAAAATCTGATGAGTTCCCGCCTCTTCCTGCTCAGAGCACCTGGGCCGTGCCCTTCTGACCGTCCAAAGCCGCGCCGGGCTTCCCCCTGGGTACGCCCTATCAGCCGCCTCCATCGAGCCGCCCTGCGAGGGATCCCCCTGCACGGCCACGTTCGATTTCCAGTACACCGGGAGTGAGGCGAAGCGGGCGCCGCTTCAGAAGCGGTACCGCTGGCTGCGAGGCTCCCGGCATGACGTCACGTATGACGTCATCGAGGGGGCGACGTCAGCGGTTTACGCGCCGGACCCCGAGGACGTGGGGCAGTGCCTGAGGGTGGAGTGCACGCCCACGCTGGGGGGGATTGCGTTTCCGGCCGTCTATGCGGTGTCGAGCGAGGTGGAGGAAGGTGGGTTAAGTTTTTGTTTAAGTGGATGAAGACGTGAGTTCCAACGGTTGATTATAATTGCAGGTGTTGTGAGATCAAGAGAGTTTTGCAGGAGTTTAGAAATCAGTGCCGAGTGGGGCAAGCGAGCTGGAAAGAGCAAAGGGGAGAAAAGGTTTGTAAGAGGATGTCGAAGGTTGACTTTGGAGTGTCCTTTAAGCTCTATTTTGTTAAATCGGGGGCATAGGGACGCCTTCAACAGTAAATTCGACCGTTTTCCTCCCACCATAAAGAGCAGATGACCTACAAAACACACGATTGCAGGAGTCAACTGGGTCTGACCTTCAGTTGCAAGGAGGGTGACTCATGGAAACCTTCTCCTAGAAACCATAGTGCGATCTTTTAACCAAAACAGCATCCGTTTCTTACAGGCAGCGGCATTCCTGCCATCTCAGACATCCGGGTGGAAGGCGAGGCAATCGAGGGACGGACTCTGCAGGGCAGCGTCCAGGTGTCGTGGAACGGAGCGCAGCCCGGGAGGGTGGTCATCAGGTGCGCTTTGCCTTCAGCCAGTACGCATGCAAACAAAGGTGTTGTCTTCTCGTTTTTCGTGTCCTGATTTGCATTCAACTGCTGTTGTCTTCGTGCCTTCGAGGACACGGTGAGCGTACAACCTCTGTTCCTTACTTTGAAAGTATCCCTTGAGAACAGTTTTCTGGTCATTGCGCATGGTAGCGACCAAGACTGAGTCGAAGGGTCCGGTTCTCGTATGTTTAAAGGAGTGTGCCCAGTTTCTTCTTATGTAACAAGCAGTGTATCACTGATACAGACCATGACATGAGACTCTGATGTGCCCAAAATCAAGCCCTGCTGAACTGACTGTCAACCGATTGGCACTTACCAGCCACATTACAAAGCTCTTGACAGGAAAGCCTTTTCCTACTTGACGCCGCCCCAATAGACGCTCTCTCTTCGTATTTGTCCAGTTGGTGGCGGTGTCAAGACAGTGCGCACCCGTTCACCATCCCGGACGCAACGGGTGCAGAGTATACCCTCTCTGCAAAGGACATTGGCCATAGCGTATGGTTCATGTGCCTGCCAATCGCAGCGGACGGGACGAAAGGGGAGGCGCAGTTTGCCCAGACGACAACTGTCCAACAAGGTGAGCACTGATTAAGTTTGAAGTCTTCTCGAGGTGTTGTGATTCGACTCAAGCCGAGATCAGCAACGAATGACTTCCACGTGATGTAGAAGCCGTGTCTACTGACCTGCAAACGTCCTTTTGATGCAGCCTATGTGACCCTCTGTCAAACCTTCTTTTTGGCTTGATCCGCCCACTCTGCCTGCTTTTCCCCGTGCGAAACCGACTCTTCCATCCGTTCCGCGCGCCTGCACTCACCCAAATCCGCCCATTCCGTCCATTCCGCTCTGTTCCCTTGTCCACTTGGTCGTTCCGTTTGTTGCAGACGTTCCGAGGGTCACTGGAGTGCAGCTTCTTGGCGAGGCTCTGACGGGGAAGAAGCTGACGGTCCAGGCTACCTATCATGGCGGAGAGGAGGGGGGCAGTGTTCTAGAATGGTTCTCGCAAGACCCAGCCACTGGGTGAGTCTTTCAAAGTTCCGCTCTAGATTTTGGAAGTCGTGGGAAATACACACGATAGTTGTGTTTTCTGACAGCGCTTCCAGGCGATCTGCGTTTGGTTCAAGGCCTACCGGTTTGTGCTTGTGCAGGCCTTGTACTTGTTTGATTTCAAACCCGATTCTTAGAGAGATCCGTGTTACAGATGCAACAGGACTGCTTTTAAGTGCTTCAAGCTGCAGTATCTTAATCTGCAAAGCCTGCGTTACCAGCATTTTCGGCTGCCCTAATCTTCACTCATGGCACCGCGCAATTCAGTGCAACCGCCAACAACAAGGTCTCCGGCAGGGTCTGTATGCAATCCATAGATTTCACAAAGCGTGCTGGATCAGAAAGGTCCGTCTCTAATTTCGAGACCTTCAAATTTGCGCGGCGCCACAAAAAGCTGACGCTTGTCCTGTCCGTCTCCTCAGCGCGCTCACCGACCTGAAAGTCCCCAACAACTCCCGCGAGTACTCCCCCTCTGATTCCGACGTCGGCCGCAAGATCGTTTTCCGTTACACCCCGGTCAACTCCGAAGGCCTTCCAGGCGAATTCGTCTCCGTAACCACCCCTAACCCCGTCGAGCTAGCGCCCCCGGAGCTTGCTGACGTGGCAATAACCGGCAGCTTGATGGAGGGGGGCAAAGTTGCGATTGCGTCACGCTACACCGGGGGGGGCACCGAGGGGGAAACGCGGATCCAGTGGCTGAAAAGCAAGTACCCGAAACTTTACGGGAGTCTGGGGGACAGTGCGGTGATCGAACTGGGGGAGGTGACGACGGAGAAGGAGTTACCGATCCCCGTGGATGCGATCGGGTGGTTTTTGGGCGCGAAAGTGACGCCGGTTCGGGCTGACGGGGTGCAAGGCGCGCCGGTGTACGTGGCAGCGGCAGAGCCTGTTGTTTGTAAGTTCTTCAGACACTGACCTCTTGGAATTTTGTTGTTTGCTGGCGTCATTAAACATCTGCAGATCTTATGATGCTGCTGCTGAATTTGAGGAAGGACCACATCAGGGCTTTTTATCGAGATATCAAAGGTCTGCTTGTTTTCACGGCCGAAGGAGACTTGAATATTTTTGACGTTGGGAGTCGCTCCTGTTGGGTCCCTCACAGCGTAGCGAGCTACTAGTCACTTGTCGACAGTTGGTGATAGTCTAGGAAGTGACTCGTGCATTTTCAGCTTTGATGAGCAAGAGCAATCACTCGCGACTCCCACGCTGCTGGTGCAAACAATTGCTGGTCGTTGTTCGAATAGAACACTACGACTCGTGGTATAACGTTTGATGGTGGGATGGAGGGAGTTGAGACAGAGCTTCTAGTATTTCCCCTCCAGCTGAAACGCTGCCGCCTTTGCTACTAGCTGAAAGTAGGTGCCCCCAAGAGCCAGCTTTCGAAGCAACAAAGACAAAGCAAACACGTTTTGAAAGATCGTTTCTAATCTCTGATTGCTTGTGTCGGCTCCCGCAGTGCGCCCCCCCAGCGTGATGAGCATCAGCATCGACGGGACGCTGGTCTGTGGCGAGACGGTCGTGGGTTCCTACGAATACGCCGGCGGGAAGGAAGGCTACAGCCAAATTGCTTGGTACCTGCATCAGGTATGGGACTCGTGCCCTTTGTCAAGTACTGCCCAGAACCTTTTCTGTAGTCTCCGGTGGAGCGCATACTGGACGTTGCAAATGCAACGGTTTTCCATCCACGCAGCGTCAGCTTTTCCCAGTTCTTACACTTGCGGTGGATTGATTGATTGGCCGTTTGTTCGTTTAAAAAATCTACTCATGGTCTCGGAGTTTCACCCGGAAGCTTTTGTGACGGCGACAAAGTGAGGCCATTGGTGCAGAAAGGAGGTTGATGCGCACTGCTTATGTTCCCGCGTCCAAAGATGGATGTCGCCTTCCCCTTTCGCCCGCGCCTCTAAAAACGAAATGATGGGGGTTTCATTGGTTGGTACTGATTGATTGACTGACTGTTAACAATAAGCTTCGGTTCATACGAGAAAGTCTGTAGTTGGGCGCTCCAGCACCGGTTCAACTCGTTACACGATTGGGACTGCTCATTCAGGAAGATTACCTGACTCACAAAGCACGAGAGTCATCGCAGGATTGACTAGAAAGTTGGCCACTGTCTTTCTCCCGAGAAAAATCGCACCCTTTAGACTCGTTGTAGGGGTTGTGCACAAGGCTATTGCTCAGCGTCTCAATTTTAATAGCCTGTTTGCTCGATAAATCACTCATTCTAACAAGACCCTGGTCTTTTACAGGACGAGGTAGACCCCGGGACTCTGATCCAAGGTTCCGTCGGCCAGAAAAGCCGCCTGCTGACACGCAAGGAAGTGGGCAAGTTTATTTCGTTCCGGTGCGCACCTCGGCGAGCGGATGGGGCGGAGGGCCAAATCCAGAGCGCCATGAGCCAGGAGCGGGTCAAGCCACGTAAGCTTCTCCTTTTTCCGTTGAAGTCCCGTGCTTAACCCGGATCGGTTTCTGGTACAGTTTGTTCTGAACCTGTTGGTCAGCTGAGTTCCTGTGTTTTCGGATTGGCTGCGCACTCCGCCGTGAAGATGGGGCGGAGCACCAGAACCAGAGCGCCATCAGCCAGGAGCGGGTCAAGCCACTTAAGTTCAGCTCCTTATCTGGCCAGCCCCTTGGTTGTTGGATTGCATTCCTCAGATTTTTAAGTTAAGTCTTCTGGTCAGCTGAAGTTTTGTCATTCCCGGTGCCTGCCTCGGCGCGCGGCTGGGGCAGAGGGCCAAATCAAGAGCGCCATGCGTCAGGAGCGGATCAGGGCATCTAAGTGTTTCTTCGTTTCTGTCTAGTCCGTTGCTTATTGCTCTGGCTTATCGGATTGGTCTTACTGGGTTTATCAATTTGCGGGAGGTCCGTTGGTCGGCTGAGAAACGGGTTCTATAGTCGGTGTAGACTAGGAGTTGCAAATCGTGAGAATAGTACCTCGCTCAAGATCATACGAATCTTTTAATCGTGGGGTGACCGTTGCTGAAATGGCAGGGACAGAGGCAAAGAGCAACGAGCAGTGTCATTCGCAACAAATCTCTGCAGAGCTCGTTGTGATTCCTGAGTCTTGCGCCATTTATATCAGGGCTCTATTTACCCCGACACCACTTCTTGAGCTCACGTCACCTCTTCTCGCTCCCGTTCACTACCTGCTTGTACGACATCGCGCTTGAGCAGTGACCCAGCTCAGGGCTGACGTTATCCCCGTTGCTGATGTCATCTTCTGTCTCCGCAGTCCCGTTGAAGCTGGCGAAGCTGAGCGTGGGCGGCGTGCACATGGAGGGCGAGGCGCTCGTCGTGCAGCACCACGCGCCGAGCGAGCCGGAGCACCGGGACGACTGGGGCAACTACTTGCAAGAAATGACATATCAATGGTGAGGGTTTGCAGTGTTTGAGTCTTCGCTTTTCAGTCTGAAACGTTGTTGACGCTATTGAAGCATCCCGGGCGTCCGGATCAAAGGCGGAGTTGGTGTCAGAGCGTTTGACCTTTGGTTATCGATAATATCGCGCTAAAGGAGCTACACCGCCAGGACGACTGGGCCAACTATTTGCAGGAGATGACGTACCAATGGTGAGCAGTTGCAATCTTCAAAGTTTCTGGGCTGTGTGCGAAACGTTCAAACCCTATATCGGGTGTGAGCTTTTTCCATGTAAACGTCTGGAGTGGTGTCAGACCGTTTGTTCTTTGGATAGCGGCTTTGATGCCGGAAGCAAATTGTCGTCTGTAAGCTCAAGTGCCGAGTCGCACAATGGACTACTTGACGCACGAAACGAGCTAGGAATCAAAGCCCAAAGGTCAGGCGTGGTATATTTGGTTGTCGTTTTCAAATGTTCACCTGCTATCCTGCGCTTCGTTCTCCCGATTATGCACCTATGTTGTTGTAGTCTTGATGAATGCAGAGTTCCAACAAAAAGTCTACTTCAGAAAGAATCTAGATTGGACGAGCTCCGGAAGGATTTCACGAAACACGTGGCAAATGTTACGAAGTTCTGCCGCATTTGTGTCTTAGCTTTCTTGCCCCTTCCGCCAGGTTCCGTTCCGAGCCCGGCAGCCGCTCCACCTTCGCCCCCCTCCCTGCCGCCACGTCAGCAGAGTACCGCGCGACCATCGACGACGTAGGGCGCGTCTTGCGCTGCGAGGGGCGCGCCAAGGACGCGTTCGGGCGGTTTTCTGAGCCAGTCCACGTGTTTTCGGGGCTGATCGAACCCGCGCCCCCCTCGGTGACGAACGTGAGGTTGGAGGGGGACGCGGAGAGCGGAGCGCTACTGCGGGGGCTGGGAGACTTCAGTGGGGGGGTCGAGGGCGCGAGCCGGTTTGAGTGGTTCAGGCAGGACTACAAGGACGGGTAAGATCTGAGGGCCGCAAACCCTTGTGAAACTTGGAGTAACCGATTCAAGTGCTTGACATTGATCCGCTCCGGTTTCGTGTCAAAACCTCGACCGTACCCCATCTTACCTCTTCTTTTTGCTCTGTCCCGCCATTTAGCCCATGCTTCCGTCCTATCCTGGATCGCAAACCACAACCCCTCGCCGGCCCTGCTTGTCGCTCAATGTGCGGCATCTGCTACACACCCACCAGCTTCCTTATGGTTAAGTCGCCTTTCACGTCAATGATCGCAGTGTCTGATGCAAATATTCTCGACCCCCAGCCCTACTCGTGCGGTGCCTTCAGGCCTTTTTTGTTCGGTGCACTGCCCTTGCATGAGGCCTCCTTTTTCGCCAGTCCTGCAACACGCTCTGATCCGTACTTCCGTGCAATTATTCGGCATCTCTTAACCCGCCTCGGTTAATCCTGGATTTCTGCACCTTTTGCAGCGCGCTCTACCCCCTCAACGTGCCAACAACACCTCCTTGACCGTTTTGCTAAACTCCGGGTTTTGGCTTCCTTTGCAGCGTGCTTTACCCCCTCCACGTGCCCAACAACACCTCCTTGACCCGTTTTGCTAAACCCTGGGTTTCCGCTCCTTTCGCAGTGCGCTCTACCCCCTCAACGTCCCCAACAACTCCCCCGAGTACATCATCCCGGAGTCCGAGGCCGGTCGCCGCATCGTCTTCAAGTACACGCCAATCTCAACCGGGGGTAAAGTTGGAGAGCCCGGTTTCGCGACGAGTCCGATCATCGAACTCGCGGCGCCGAAGGTCGCGGGGCTCGCGATCGTTGGCTCGCTTCTGGAGGGGAGTCGGGTGGCGGTGATTGGAAAGTATTCGGGCGGGGGCAAGGAGGGGCAGAGCGAGGTGCAGTGGTTCAAGTCGGAGGAGGGGACGGTTGGATCGGGCATGGAGGCGATGCCGCAGTTTGACAATCGAACGGTGAGGGATTGTTGACTCTTCCGCAGCTTGATAGTCGGACGGTGAGGGTTTGTTGACTTCGCTCGTCAGGGTCGCAAGGACTACTTTGGAAATGGAAACAAGGATTTCTGAGCCGCTAAGTCGAACCGTGTTGGCGGAGGCGCTGCGTGGTTTGACAACTGGTTGGTGTGACCAGCTCGGAGAGCTTCTACACTCAAAAATGAGATAAAGATTCAGGCTTCTTTCGGTCGGGCGCTTTTTGCAGTTGAACTGAGCTCGTAGCTCGTGTTTCGTTTTGGGCTGAGCTGTCTCGTTCTGCCGGAGACGAAAATTTGTGTTTGGCTTGAGCACTATGGCTCCGCCTCCTCTTGGGTTTGGGTGCGAGCAATGGGCGGGCTTTGGCAATGACATTTGAGAAGGCAACTTACTGCAGGCTCGAGAACAAATCTGCGCTTGGCTCGATCAGAGTCGGGTCGGGCGGCCAGGTAACCCAGTGTGCATTTATCCGGGGCACATGGACTAATAGAATCGAAGCCTCGAAGCTTCGCACCTGCCTAAGGCTCTTCTTCTAATATCTGGCGCTTCGACGTGGTAACCCTGCTTAGAACAACTTACCATCGCAGGATAGCAGTGCCCGAAGAAACGACTGCCCGTATATTAGCAGGAATGAAGCCGAGTACTTGTGCTTGCATCCCTAAGACCATTTGACGCAAGATGCATGTCTTCTGCCTTGCAGGAGTTTATCATTCCCGCAGAGGTCGTCGACTTGTATCTGATTGCCAAGTACACGCCCATCCGCATCGATGGGGAGAGGGGGGAGCCGTCGTTCGTGGCGTCTAAAAGCACCGTACAAAGTAAGTTTTCCTTTAGCCCCTGCTCTTTGGGATACAATCCGCTTCTCGGTTCCAAAAGCTCAATAGCACGGTTCTCAAATCTTAGCAGTCAACCGCTGAAAAGTACTGCTTTGCCCGCATGCTTTCCATTCAAAACGCTGACCGTCGACACAAACGCTGCTCCCTTTGTACTGCTCAGGCCTGCCCCCGAGCGTTGTGTCAATCCACCTGGCTGGAGAGATGCAAGCCGGGGCTACCATCACGGCAGAGTACAAGTACGTTGGGGGGCTAGAAGGAGTCAGCCATTATGGCTGGTACTTACACGAGGTAAGGTAGCTCCAAATCGATCCCGGACGAGTCCGTAGTACTTTCCTGGTCATAAGGTTCTGATTAGTGTCTGCTGTCTCTTCGTTGCTAATCCCGATCGGATCTTTATTTTATTATGGTCATGATCTTGGCTGTCTCTTCGTGGCTAATCCTGGTCAGATCTTTGTTTTTGTTATGGTCACGAGCTACACCCCTCTTGATACAAATCTGATTTTATCAATTCTCGTCGCTGTTCCGCGACCTGTAGGCGCTTTCGATCATTTTCTGACACTCTTTCCATCATTCTACCCCGACCTGCTTCTTGCTCCTCCTTGACTGTCACGTCCGTAGACTCTGCTTTGCTCCCACATTCTGCTAAGAATTCATATGGTTTCCGTTTGCGCAGAGTCCCAGTGCGCCCGGTAACCTCATTCCTGGGTCCATCGGCCTAAAGGAACGCTTGCTCACAACGAAAGAAGTTGGCAAGTATCTGTCCTTTTCGGTGACGCCCCGGCGGAAGGACGGAGTGGAAGGGGAGACAAAGGCTTTTGTCAGTGGAGAGCGGATCATGCCAGGTGAGAAAAGCTCGCATCTCTGACAGCCCTTATACAGGATTGAAGGATCTTAGGGCTTTAGCTTTGCAGGGTTTTACGGCTTTGATCTTTAATCAGCAAAGCCTGAAGTCCTGGGGTGATCATGAAGCGTTTGTAGCTCAGGTGCATAAGCAGGCGGTGATTAATGAACGATAGTCGCTTCCGGGCCCAGATCTCGCTGGACATGCTCGTGAGCTCTCGTACAAAAGGTGGTGGTCGCTGTTCTGGTTTTGGCTTCAGATCTGCTCTAGCTGTACCAACGGCTTATGAGCGTGTATATTTTACTTAGCTGCGGTCACTGATAAGCTGTTGTCTCTCTTGACTATAGAGCCTCTTCAGCTATGGGGACCGCTTATAAGCTCACATACTCTATTGAGCTGCGGTCGCTTATGAGCTATCTACTCTCCAGACTTTAGAGCCCCTTCAACTGCGGGGACCGTTTATATGCTCGTTTCTTCGCACATGCCTCCGGCCGCTGATAAGCTATCGTCTTTTTCGACTCTCAGAGCCGCTTCAGCTGCGGGAGTTGACCATAAGCGGAGAGCCAGTGGAAGGAGAGAAGCTGACGGCAGTCCCGGTGCTGCCAACCGAGCGGGAAGAGTGGGACAAGTTCAAAAAGGATGTCGTCTTCCAATGGTAAGAACAGGTGTCAATTGTTGCGATCTGACACCCTGGAGGACTCTCATATTGCTCGCTTTTGAAGCACGCAAAACACTATTGGATTTCATTGGTGTGTTTGATGTTTTAATCTGATCGATTCAATACATCAGCGAACTGATGGACTGCATTGATTTGGGTGACGTACAGCTGTGAGAAAAGTACAGCTGTGAGAGAAGTGCAGCTGTGCTCCAGACGGGTTTCAGAGGACTGCTCAAGTTCCGTTGTTTCTCAAAGTTCCACTTTTGTCGGTTTTAAGGAGTTCCGATCGATACTGGATTTCAGCTCTGTCCCTGCAAACTAGAAATGGAAACGTAGAGGAACGAAAATGGCGCCCAGCAATCATGGGCCAAACCGAAGGAACGTCTGCTAGAGAAGCAAGACAAATGAAGGAACGTCATCTCACAGAAGTAAGACAACCGAAGCAAAAGCACCTCTCGGTCTTGTCAATAAGCTGACGTCACCTCCGCCCTTCAGGTATCGCTCCGCTGCGATCGGGAGCGGCAACTTCGATTCTCTGGCCGGCGAGACGTCTAGTTCTTACTCCCCGACCTTCGACGATATTGGACGACGAATCAAGTGCGAGTGCTGTGTGGTCGACAAACTGGACCGGACGTCGGGCGCGGTGGCTGCCATTACTGAGCCCGTCGAAGCAGGTTGGTCTTTCTAAGATTCCGCGTGCATGCCTCTTCTCCTCGTTTCCTCCCGCACCGAAAGCAGGGTCTCTTCCATGCGGCCAGAAATGCTTTTGTTCCCTTCCCTTTTTTCTCGGAGTGTCTACAAATGCCTGCCCTCTTCTCCGTTTTTTTAGGGAGTAGGATAATAAGATATGTCGTTTCTCCCGTTTCCTTGTCCTCCTTTTCCGTCCTTGCGTCCTTCTCTAAGCAGAGGAACGACGAGTCACAGAGCTGCCGACAAGAGGTCTAATGAAAGACCTCACCAACCCTCTTACGAAAGCGTTTCTGCAAATCCATTTGTCATGCCCTAGGTTTGCATGTATTTAGTATGTATGCTTGCATTACTCAGAAGCAAAAGGTACAACAAAGTCTTCAAATCACTCGAGAAGCAGCATTTCGTCGGTTTGTCTCCTCTGAAGCAAACGCCTATCGCTTGTTCAAATTATTCCACCAGCCACCTGCGATCTGATTCAAGTCGACGACTCGACAGATTGTATGTGCTTGCCTCGCATTGAAGTTTCGCTTATCGTCGTCGTGTGTAGCTTCTCCCTCCATACGAGACGTCGGATTCGACGGCAAGCACATGGCGGGGAGCACGATCCGGGGCATCGGTTCGTACTTTGGGGGAAAACAAGGCGCCAGCCGATACGAGTGGTTCAGAGAAAACATTCGGACGGGGTGAGTGGCTGGTTAACGGCAACCATAGATGGATGGTATTTGCTTCAGATAAGCGTATTGCTTTTGTGGAACGCACGAGACTCGGGTGGCAGGCAGGAAGTAACGTTTGTGAATGACAGAGGTGCTTCGATTGTAGTCGGCTTGTAGATTTGTCTTCTTTTGAGATAACCCCTCGGAAAGCCTGACCTTTTGAGTCCTGGTCTGGCTGCCGTGTGCTTCAAGTCCGAGCTCCTAAAATGCCCCTTCTCCTCGGCAGCGTCTCTATTCCCACGATCTCACAAAACCAAAAACTATATCCGTTACAGACTTTCGTGAATATCCTTTGCGCATGCGCTGCACAACCTTGCTGAGGAAGTCCCGCTCTTTGCGTTTCAGCCATTCGCTCCTGAATCGGCGCTCCTCAAACGCTTCCGTTTTCAGATAATAGTCGTCGTCTTTAAACCTTTGCTTTTTGCTTCTGCAGCGAGTTCGAGCCCCTTCACGTGCCTAACAACGCCCCCGAGTATGTGCCCGGCAATGATGACGTCGGACGGCGCATCATGTTCAAGTACACGCCCATCAACTCGTACGGAAAGGCTGGGGAGACAGTCACAGTGACGTCAGATCCCGTCAAACCAGGTGAGAAGCATCTGCGTTTCGAGCCAGAAGCGTCCTTCTCTTCGTTCTTTTTGATAACTCCAGCTTGCGCCACGTGCGGGGTGTTGGAAATTGATAGTGTTGGATAGACGTCGTTAGGGAACGGGTGGAAGTAGACTCGCTGCATGAACGAGTGTGAAAGCCAATTCGGATGATTCGAAGGGAGGCAAGGACGCAAATTTTATTAGTGCACAGATTGCTCAGCCTGGAGGATATATCTGCCAATGTTAGCTCCTGCATTCATCTTGAGCAGGTTACAAAGTACGTCAACGGCCTTTGATGGTTTACAGAAAAGGTCATTGCTTGTCGCAATTCTCGGAATCTCCAGTAACTCGAACGGATCTTAATAGACCGCGCGTGCTCGCAAACCCGACCAGTCTGCATCTTAGTTCCTGCCAACACTGTTTCAGCTGAATCCAAATGTAAGCCTGCCTGAAACCTCGTTTTCAAGAGTCGTCCTTCTGACTCTTCCCTAAATCCCGTTTCCGTCAGTCTCACTCTCAGATTGACCCTCCTCTCCTAACCCAGTTTCTGCCCCTGTTTCTGCAGCACCCCCCCGTGTCGTTGATCTCTCCATCCGGGGCACTCTGACGGAGGGCAGCACAGTTACGGTGCACGCATTTTACGTGGGCGGAGGGGAGGAAGGCCTGAGCCGCATCCAGTGGTTCAAGTCGCGGTCGCCGTCCACCGGAGGAAACGACCTCGTCGAACTTGGGCCGGTGCAGACGAAGAGGGTAGGCAGCCTTCAGCATTTTCGACGCAGTGCTTTCGAATCACTGCCAGTAGGATCTGATTGCATGCACTCGCCGAAAAGTTTTATGCGGTTCTAAATGCGGTCGAAGAGTTCAGTGTGACCTTACAGAGTGCAGGTGTAGGGTTTTACCTCATTTAGTCAGCATCATCAAACCTCGACTGGTTGTTTGCCTTCGAGTTGCATTGCTGATTTGACCCCTTCATTTCTCTCCGTTGACAAAGGGTGAGATTCTGCTCCTACACGGCCTTATAGAGATAGTCGATTGTAGGTTTGGGGCTTCTTTCCCATTTCTTCCTCTTCAACAGAGCCACTTTTGGCCTTTTGGAATAGAGCCTTCACTTGGTAATTTCGCATCTGTACTTTGTCGTAATCTCAACCCTCCCCTTCCCTACAGGATCTCGTAGTTCCCCCCGAGGCGGTTGGTTGGTACCTCCTTGCAAACTACGTCCCCGTGCGTTCGGACGGCGAGTTCGGCGAAGCAGTCCAAGTGGTGTCCGCTCGTCCGGTGACTGGGCTTCCGCCGAAGATCACGTCGATCCAGCTGTCGGGGGCGTTTTTCGAAGGGGAAACGCTGCGGGCAGACTACGAGTACTCGGGGGGGTACGAGGGAAACAGTGTGTATGGGTGGTACGTGCACGAGGTGAGTGGCTTGCGACTTTTGTTCTTCAGTAGCTTTTTAGGGGGGTGTACGTTTTCGGGGGGTATCGACGGAAAAAGTGTCCAGGCGTTGCTGTAAAAACCGGAGCAAGGTAGTTGGTGGGAATCTGGAATACTGATTAGAGAGGAGTGTGTTCGACTTCTCAGAAGTATCACTTTTAAGAAAAGGAACGTTTTCCTTAACCTCCTTCGCTCGAGAATCATCAAGCCCTGCTTTCTGACATCTCGCATCCTGCAGCACTAAGAATGTCTCGACGCAAAACCTGAGAGCTAACACCATCGTTCCCACGTAATGGAACAACTTCTAATGGAACAACTTCTCGTCAACCTGCTCCGTTAAAGAAGTACCAAGCCCTGGTTCTTGACTCCTCGCATCCTGAGTCTTCTTATGCAAAACCTCAGACCTGACACCATCGTTTCCACCGTGACTGGAGCAACGTTTCTGCGCAACCTGCTCCGCTCAAGAAGCACCAAGCCCTGGTTCTTGACTCCTCGCATCCTAAATTTTTTTACGCAAACCTCAGACCTGACACCATCGTTTTCCACCGTGTCTGCTTTTTCCAACGTTTCTGCTCAACCTGCTTCCGCTCAAGAGTCACCGGACCCTCGCTCTTGATATAGGTACCTCATCCTGAGTTTTCGTCGCAAAATTCGAAACTTGACACCATCGTTTCACCGCAGAACGAGCAAGACCCCGGGGTCCTCATCCCCGGCTCCGTCGGCCTCAAGGAGCGCCTGCTGACGAAGCGTGACGTCGGCAAGCTCGTCTCGTTCAAATGCACGCCCCGACGAGAAGAAGGTTTGGAAGGGCCCAGCAGAACGGCGATGAGTCCGGACAGGATCGCGGCAGCCCCCCCAGAATGCAAGAATCTGCGAATCGTGGGGTCGCCCGTGGAACACGGGGTGCTGCGCGCGGAGAAGGATTACGTGGGGGGGTACGAGGGGGCGTCGATCTACCGGTGGTATGTGGTAAGTGTTTTGGAGTTTTATTATTTTGAGCGTTTTCAGGGGTCTTTATATTGGTTTGTGCTTTCAGGCGTTTCGGATTCGTAGTGGACCTCCTAAGTTTGTGGATGGACTGCAGATGCTGCATCAGAGTTGGAGCAGGGGCTACGTGAATTCTCCAGTGACCTGTCACCGTGATGCAATAGTGAAGGAGTGAAGATCGTCCAATGTGGGTTGCGAGGCTTCTATATTATTTCACCTAATGCTCCCACTGCGATCTTCGTCGGCTCTTCTGGCCTAGTCCGAAACGCATCAAGCGTGCCAGAACATCTCGCTCGTAGGTGCCCCCTTGAGAAGCTGGACTGGTTCCTACCTTCTTGAACTCAAATGCCTTCTAATTTCGCGTCAACATTTCGAACAAGTGGTTCTGTCATGTCTCTGAAGAGCTCATCGAGATTGTTAGCAAAACCTCTAGAATGAGGTTTTGCAGACAGCCCAACGAGGTGCAGAAGCTCATCAAGGACTCCACAACTTCCGGCTACAAGGTGCGCTCGGAGGACATGGCTTTTAAAGACCATTTTCTGTCCAAAAGCGTAAAATCACCATTCAAAAAACTTTCAGATTTCTGATCAAGGATCGCCCCGTGCAGACCCAGCCCGGCGAGGTGCAGAAGCGCATCGAGGGCGCGACGACGTCCAGCTACAAGGTGCGCTCGGAGGACCTGGACTGCATGATCAGCGTGGCGTGCACACCGGTGCGGATCGACGGTGTAAATGGGGACCAGGTCTGGGCCAGCCCGGTGGGACCTATCGTGGGGGGCCGGCCGTTTTTGGGGCATCTAGAGATTCAGGGGAGGGCGGTGGAAGGGGAGGTGCTCAGCGTGCACGCTGGGTACAAGGGGGGGTGAGTGGCACTCTTTCGTTTGCCCCTCGAACCGAGAGTCAGCATCCGATCGGCCAGGTTTTATCGGATTTGTTTTGCAGGACTTGGTGTGCTGACTGGTGTGAAAGGTGGCCAGGATGGCCCGAAGGAGCTCGGTTGATACTTCCGCTTTTGGAAGAACTCCTAGGAGCATTAGCTCTGCGCCTACTGTAGTTGCTGGTCCAGAGGGAGTGCAGTACCGCATCTGTAGGACTCAAACGCAATTCATCTTTGTCTTTCTCGATGTTATGCACAAGAATCTGAAAGATAGTGCAAGGTGGGGCAGTCTGAAGCCTGTTCAGACTCAATGTATGTGATGTTTCTTACGTCCTGTAAGGCCGTCGCTGACGTCAGTCTTGTCTGATTTCCTAACGTCACCCCATCCTGTCGCAGGGAGAAGGGCGCGTGCAACATCGTGTGGCACAGGATCGATAACAGCGGGGCCGAGACGGAGCTCAGTAAAGAAGGTAAGACATCGTTCTTGCCTCCCCGTTCTTGTCGTCACCTGCCTCGCTTGTGCTACCTTGTGATTCCGCTTAGTGGTTTCTCTGCCATTCGTGAGGGGTTCTGTCCGAAGTAATCCGCACTCTGATTTGCCCTTTCCCGGCGGTTCTGGTTCCTTTCTCCTGCTCGGTTGATCACTGTCGGAACCTTGTCATCCCTTCTGCGACGAAGCCAGGTCTTTTGAGGGCCACGTAGCAGAGGCATTCTCCCGAAGCTATCGTTCAGCATCCGCCGCTTTCTACAGAGTTAGAGAGTGAAAGTCCGCTCACGATCAAGACTGGACCCGGCTCCAAAGCAACTCTACGGATTGATTCACCCCAACGAAATAATCACACCGTTTCTTCCTGTTCATCCGCAGAAACGATCACTCTAAGTACCGAGGACATAGGCTGCCGTATCCGGGCTTCGTATACCCCCATAAGGGCGGATGGCGTACAAGGAGATGAAGTATCGGCAACAACGGATGTGGTCGTAGAAGGTAAGCGCAAGACCCTGTCACTGCTGACTGCTTTTTAGCAATCCTCTTGAGATTGCGTGTATCAGCACATTTGTGACTTCGGGAATGTCTGGTTCTGAGCCGACCTCCGTATAACCTCGATTTTGGCGTCGTCAGTGGGTTGCATTTCTGCAAAGTGTTTGCAAGTGTACTGACAGCAAAAGCTGAACGATTCACACCTCTCTAGTCGAAAGTGACTGTAAAGTTATTCAGGACAGGAGCCCAAGTAAACTGTCCAGGTTTCAAAGGATGGCTACGACGTGGAGCGTCTCATCTTTGCTTGCACTATCACTCTTTCCAAGTTGCTTTGCTGCTCAGGATCTTCAGTCGGTAGACTGCTCCCAAGCAAATTACCTTCTTCGACTCAAAGGGATGCTCGATTCCCCTTGACCTCCTTCTTTGCGTGTGTTCAATGGCAAGCCAAAACCCAAAGGAATTCCCACTCTACAGAAATGGTTCTTCTTTCCTATCTTCGCAACAGCTGCCGACCTCTCAAAACGGGATTACTGTTGTTGTTTCAGGTAACCCCGTCGGCGTGAGCCTCCAGGTGCCCCCCCTCCAAGAGGGCCAAGAAGCAGCCCCCGCCTACAGCTATTCGGGGGGCATGGAAGGCTCCAGCGAATGGGGGTGGTATCGCTCAAACGAGGACCCCCAATCTTCCGGGGGGGTGTCGGCCGACGAAATGTCCATGGAACTGTTAAAAGTGGGTTCGACCCGGGTTTACAACCCCACGGTTAACGACGTCGGTCACTGGTTGCTGGTCCGGTGGACCCCGGTCCGACGAGACGGCCGGCGGGGGATCCCCCTGACTGCCACGTCAGAGGGGCCGGTCCACCCGGGCCCGCCGGAGGCGGTCAACGTAACCGTGGTGCAAACCGGGGAGCTAACCCTGCAAGGTTCGGCGGTGTACCGGGGCGGGAAGGAGGGGCTGTCGCAGTACAGCTGGCAGCGCCAGCTGGCGGACGGCACCCGGGAGCTAATCATTGGGGCGTGCGAACGAGAGTACACAGTAAGTGATGACGACTTTGGGCACGGTTTAGTTTTTGGTTACATCCCGGTTAGGGCGGATGGGGTGACGGGGATCGAAAAGTTGTCGGAACCGGCGCCGGCGATCTTGCCCCCCCTTTTGGTTGCGGTGCGCGTGGTTTTGAAGGGGAAAGCGGAGGAGCGGGAGATTTTGGGCGCGGTCGTGGAGGGTCCGGCGGACGAGCGGGGGGCGGCGCTGTGGGAGCGGTTCAAGAAGGAGGTGCAGTTCAAGTGGTGAGGAATTCTGGTTGGATTATGTTTTTGTTGAAGTTTCTTTCTGGATTGGCAGTTTCTTTTGGGTTGGCTAAGAGGCAATCTTTTAGACGTTGCTTCTTGTCTAGGGAGTCTCTGGGGCTCGCTGAAAGAAGATGCATATGAGCAATTTGGGTTGCCTTGTTCCTGCATCTCACGAACTCCTCAGGCCATTGTTTTGGACCATTGAGACCTCGAATCACAAACTTGTCTCAATCTCCTGTGAAAGGCTGTTAAGAATCACCACGGTGAACGGCATGTACGCGCCTCCTTTCGAAGCACCTGCTGCTACGCTTTCACGAACTCCTTCCACAATGCTCAAACTCACAACTTTTAACCCTCAGATCTTCGAAAACCTTTGTTGACTTGACGGCAGCAAGAGCTTGCTCCGCACCAGCACGATTTGTGGCATGTACAAGGCCGCTTTCTTGAGGAAATCCTAAAGTTTATATCGACACCCTGAACCACCAGATTCTGAACTCAGAACCCTGAAGTATAGTGCTCACATTCCTTCCGATTTTCCAAGTCTCGCTTGAAGGACGACGGCAGCAAGAGCCTGCTCCGCACCAGCACGATCAACGGCATGTACAAGCCTTTTCTTGAGAGCAACTTCACAAAACTTCAAAAATTGAAGACCCAATCTTGAATCCGAAGTCCCAATCCAACACCCCAATATTTCATTTTACCTCTTTGCAGGTCGCGATTGGAAGATAACGGCAGCAAGAGTCTGCTGCGCACCAGCACGATCAACGGCATGTACAAGGCGCGCTTCGAAGACGTCGGGCGGTGCCTCGAGTGCGAGTGCAGCGTGATCGACATCTGGGGGCGCAGCTCGCCCCCGCTATCCGTCACGTCTGAGATTGTTGAGCCAGGTGAGCCCTTCCGGACGTCCGAAGCCAAGCAATTTGTAGAGTTGCAGGGTTTCGCATATCTTGGTCCTTGACCGTTTCCGAACGACTTTGAACCGTCAGATTGTCAAAGAACGCTCCGGTCTCGTGCCCCGCTGTACGTCACGTCCGACTCTTCGAGCTAGGTCAGCCCTGTCGGGCGTCCGGATATCCATACATTCGTCAGAAAGGATGGTCGGTCACCTTGCAAGTGAAACTAAGTCAAGAGCATACAGTAGCGGGATCCATACTTCACCACGGTGGTATTCTTGAGACAAGTGAGGAACCCAGGCTATCTTAAGGACTGTATTGGTCGCAGTTCGGCCTTTTGGTACACAAAAGTCTCCAACAGTCCAGACACAAAAGGTTCATCGAAATTGCGCGCGTAGTCGCCTGCAGGTTTTGGTATGCTTTTGTCTTACTTCTTTTTTTACAAGTCACCAGACGCTTTAGCCGGTCAGCACAAGCTCGTCAAACGCTTCGTCGCTTTACGCTGACCGTTTGCAAAACCCTAACTCCTCAGCCCAATTTCCTTGCTGTCAGGTCTGCCCCTGGTTGAGCGCGTGCGTGTCTACGGTCGGGAGCTGCACAGCGGGCGCTTCCTGGTTAAGGGGAACTACAGCGGGGGGGTGGAAGGCGAGAGCACCTTCCAGTGGTACCGAGCAATTGCAGGGAGCTGGCAGCTGACGCCTATCCTGGGTTAGTGCATAACCCACTCTTTCCTCCACTTTTCACTTTCTCTAGGTGACTCCTTCCTTTGTTTCAACAGCATCAGGCAGTGTACCGGGCCATTGTGGGGAGCTGGCAGCTGAAGCCTAACTCGGTTAGTGCCTAACCTACTCTTCCCTTACATTGAAACCTTGGTTAGTTGACTCTGATTGATATCTACAGCATTGGGCAGAGCGCCTTCCGGTGGTACCGGGCCATTGCGGGGAGCTGGCAGTCGACTCCTAATTTGTGTTTGAGCCGAATTTACTGTCTGCTTGTTTCGACCGACAGTAACGTTTGTTCTGTGGTTTGCCTAACAAGAAGCTCGTCTCTTCCTTCGATTCGTCATCTTACATTGCCCAAGTTTTCACTGCATCAAGCGGACAACGAGGGCGCCTTCCAGTGGTCGCAAGTCACTGCGGGCGACCTCCGTCGTTGACTGAACTCCTCTTATTTTGCAGCCTTTAGTACCTGGACATGCTGTACCTAAGTATAAGAATCAGGGTTAAAGCAACGCCCGTCTTTTGGCTGGTTGTTGATACAAGATGGCAGCGGTTTCGCCCAGACATGCGTAGTCGTTTGAAGCCGCTTGAAGCTTGATGGCATAGCAACTCGAATTCCGTATCCTCACGAGCCACATGCTACGAAGCTGCAATTCAGTACCAAGTAGGGTGGGCAACCCAAGATTGAAACTTTGCCGTCCACCAAAGACCGCTGAAACCTTGAAGCTGTTTCCGCATGCCCGCTTTCCGAACGCACGACTGCATCAGGAAAATTGGGTTCAAAGAGCACCTTTTATCCTTCAGGTCCTACCTAGTCGTTCTTTAATTACTGCCTTTTCGTTCTTCAGGTACTCCCTTCCATCCTTTAGAGATTGCGGTCCGTTAGGCTCCTCGTTCTTTTTTCTCAATCTTGCATCTCTCCGGCCGCAGGCGCCAACCGGCAAAAGTACGACTCGAACGTGGACGACATTGGGTTCATCCTCGCTGCCAAATACACCCCGGTTCGGGAGGACGGGGTGGTCGGTGAACCGGTCACCGCCCAAACAACCCCGATCGCGCTCGGTGAGTTGCACAAAGCTTCCCCTTTAGAAACATACATAGACGTTTTGTTCGGAGCAGAGCGCACTGATCTCTCAACGTGGAAGAGGTTCTCCAACGGGTCCAGTTTCTTTTTACATATGGATACAGGGAGTATTCTGACACTCTTGAATAAGGTGTAAGGTCTTGGATTGACGAAAGTAGTGCCAGATCAATTACGCTCACCTTCGAACTATGTTTCTGAAGTGGCCCGGCCAACGGTTTGGCATGGATTCAGCTGGTACTTTTAATTTTTATCCACTCAACGATTGCTTGCCTTTGAGTGGACCGAAAACCGTTCTTTGCAGACGGTCTGCTGATTGACACCGGTTTCTGCACCCCTAATAGCTCTAATGGGTTTCCTAACCAGCCTTGCTAACCACCGCCTTTCCTGCATGCCTGCAGACCCTGACGTGGCCCGTGATGTCACCCACATCGTGGACCAGCAGGCGCACAAGTTTGACGTCATGATGGCGACGCCACAGGGCCTGCAGGCGCGCACACTGGACGCCACCAGCAAGCGGCTGAAGATCAACCGGTCGGGAACCAAAACGGGGCGGAACGTGACCGAGGTCAGTTCGTTTCTTAAACTTCGTCATTGATACAGTTTCGGCATACTCATTTCTGGCAGAGCGGGGAACTTTTGTGCAAGTTGCCTTCGAAGACCTGAACTAGCAGCCGCAATCGACTGAACAGCACCAGCTAGGGGGAACGTGAGCGAGGTCGGTTTGTGGTTCGTTGGTTTATGTTGATAGGATAACCCCAGCTCATTCCGCTTTAACGACCAGGTACAGTGTGCAAGTTTGCCAGCAAAACCTGAGTTGGCCCAGCTTCCATGATTCGTCTTCGTGCCTTGACTTAGGCTCTTTCCCAATCTAAGAAAGAGAAACCTCGCTTTCGAGAATTCAAACAGCACCTCTTGAGTTTTGCTAGCGCCAAGATCGACAAGCGCGCCGTTCGTTGGGCCTCTACTTTTGTCGGGTTCAGTCGCAGAGGAGTGCAAAGGGTTCGGCCAGTTAGCGTCAACGGGCGCAGACTCGTGGCCAGTTCGCCATTCTATATAAGTGTACTTAGACGTCGGGGGCGGCAAAATCGTCTCGATCATTCCAGGTAGTAAACAAAAGCCGCAGTCACATGTTAGGGAAAAGTTTCCTGGCCACAAGAAGATTCCTCAAGTGCTTTCCGCTTCTCGAACTGGGACGCTGAACAGAGGCTGCGCGCCGAAAACTCGCGCACTCAGGCCGCACAATCGCTCATCACATTACGGCTGTTTACGAGGCCGAGACCTTAAAGCGCTTTCTCCAACTGAGTCTTTTTTGTCTGTGCAGATGAAGGCCAACTTCAAGCCGCCGTTCTGGGTGGAGATCAGTTTGAGCGACCCATACAAGGCGGTGGTAGTCTTGGAAGAAGACAAGATGGTCGAGGTCGTGCTGCCGACGCGGCACGAGCGGGATGTGTTCACGATGTCGATGCGCAAGTTTGCGCAAAAATACCGATAACCGGGGTTTGGAGGGTTTGGGCACTGGGAGGGTTGGGGGTTAGGGGCCGGTTACTGAAGACGGGTGGAAAGAGGTGACAGCAAGGTGGTGGGTTCTACGGTCAGTCAAGATGCTGCTAGCTCGATTGAGACGAACAGCTTGTACGGGACCAGTGTTACGGCTTGATGAAGGAAGATTTAGGCTACGTCAAAAGGGAAACAGATTGGGAGGGCATCAAAACAGGACCGGTTGGTTCCAAAAGGGCAATAAAGTCTCGGCGGTGGGCAACGTGCGGTCCCAAGAAATAAGGCTCGAACAAATGGTGCGCAGCTCAATTTAGGGGCTGCTTAATGAGAGTGTGGGAAAGACCGATGAGCGATCAGAAAAGGCAGCTTTGACGGACCGACAGCTTATCTTATTGGGCTTTGGGATAAAGTCAGTGTAGCTCAGAGTGCCTTGCTCAGCTTCGCTAGGGAGAAATAAACAATCATTGCATGCTGTGAGGCGCTAACTGGGTGCGCACTGGTTTAGATCTTACTTGCTTAATTGAGTTAGTAGATTAAGGTCCCGGTTCTTGCTTGCAGCTTTTCGTATGTAGCTAGGGGATAGACACCAACTCGGCAATCGTGAGTGAACTTCCGCTTTGGAACCTAGTTCGTAAGTTTTGGCACCTCGTCTTTTAGTCGATAGTAGCCACTTGACGGTGGCGAGGCGGCAATTGTAGCTCTTATTGATGATCCGGAAATGCATACAGGCCGGCGCCCAGTCACAAGTAATCTACAATTGTGCACTCATGGATCGGCCATGTATGACATGTAGCCTAAAGGCCCACGTGGCAGAAGATGTATTATTATTGGGGACACAATTACCGGTCGAAGACATTGAAGAATGTGAGCCTGTCACTCTAGGCAGCCTACCTACCGTTGAGATATCAATGACGCGGTCATGCATATGGCTATAATAGACATCCGGCTGCAGTTAATAGTGATCTGGCATGCGATCTCATTGCTTCACCTGGTACTAATACTAATGTCCGTGGGCATCGTGTCAAAACATCTGTGCAATTGAAGGCCGCGTCCGGAACTCCGAAAAATAAACCGGCCACCAGGGGGGCCGGTACAAACGAAAGTTGACCCGAAAAACACCGGCCACCAGGGGTACCCAAGTTCCGACTGGATGTAAACCCGCTTTAGAGGGATTCAAGGAGATGGAGCGAGTGCAATATCGAATTGTCGAATTACATGACCAGAGGTTTTCAGGTGCTCCTCTTCGGTTCGGCCCCGCAATCAACTTATAAAACTTAGGCAAAATAGAAGACTATTACCTAAATGCATCTGGATTTGTACTAGTATGTAGTGATATCTGTGCCAAAACATTTGGTTCGAGACTGGTCGGTTGATGTTGCCTCGTAACCTCCAACCTCTTGCAAGGGGCTGACAGGCTGAAAGACAACACATACGCGGCTGATTAGTCGCTCATACGCGGAATTTCGCTTCGATTCTTGGAATGATGGCCCGAACATTTATCAGAGCATTCAGCCGGGCACCGGCCACCAGCCCCCTCGACTCATCTTGACGGTGCTTCGAGAATCGGCCACCAGCCCCTCCAGAAAAATTGCGCAAACCGGAGTTCCGGACGCCACTGCACATATATTTTGACACGATGCCATGCGCAAGAAGGGCTGCGCCGAGCACTGTGCATGCTGACTATATAAAGTACGCGAACACATCCATAATTCATAATTGTCACTAGGACAATCGCATGTTTGCTGATTACTCATTGTGGGTATTATGGGTGAAAAGGTCGCATGGAAGCAACGGGCCTCGACTTAAGCACACGGCTTTAAGAATAGCTAGCTCAAATGATGGTGTCCTTTTGTTGTCGCCGTAGTCAAAATGACCACAGGCTTCTCATGGCATACATTGATACATGTATGATCGAGTTTGTGTATATCCTTGTCACGCTGGAATGGGTCGCATCTAGTTAGTGTCGTAACTAGAGGCGGACAATGATTGGTTGTGGTTAGTGTCCAGATGATGTTGGGACTGTGCCATAGTGTGGGCACTGGTGATATGGAGAAAGAATGCAGCTAAGGCATTCTTTCTTCTGTTCAGTCTTATGGTTGAGAGAGGGCGGCAATGAACCTATACAACATGTACGATGGCCAGTAAGATAGTTTCCCTCCATGCCACGAGGGCGTGGTTGTAGCTCTGTGTCTCATTCATTCACTCATGCCACCGTTCCGACGTGTCGTGATCGCGCTGGACGCGGCGCACTCACATCTCACATGGTACATATTGTGTCGGATGCTCAAAGTTGTGTAGCCGTGTGTTGCCGACAGGAGTGAGGCAAGAGCTATAGTGAGGCGACATCCTCAGCTGCTTACCAATGGCTAGCCTATGCCTACTTAGCGAGGTCCGTAGTACACCGCATCAACGCTACAACCACAATGCTTCTCAACAATGTCCTTGAAGTGATGATACCTACTGAAACACACTCTTGAAACTCTTGAACGAGCAATCTTGATCCCTCAAGCAGGCTCATCATCATCTCTTGTTAGGGTGCGCGTCGACCGAAAAGCTGCTTGAAAAAGCTTCCCAGATTTCTCAGCCAATCGGATGGCTTTTAGGATCCACGTGATATGCCAAGGTACATATGCCAAGTACATACCAGAGGAGTGATTTGGCCTGAAAAGTACCGTACCTCCTACCTGTC